CGCACTTCCCGAAGGCTGGTCAACTTAGCAGGGCCTGAGCAAATGCCGACCTACTAGCAGAAGGGTCGTCTTATCAGAAGTCGTAGCAAGCTACTTTGACCTGTGCATTTTCTCTTTTAGTCGCCTTTTACGACAAGCAGAGACATACTGAGGTGGTATTCTTATCCCGCCACAACACGGAGTAGCATCTACATTATACAAAACAAAAATTACAATTATCATTTTAAATATATTTAGTTAATTTTGCATCTACTAACAGTTAGTTTATGTTAAATTCACAAATAATATTTTATTTATATTTTTAGATTCACATATTATATTTTATATATATTTTTATATTTTATTATTTTAAAAATTAAAAATTGTTCACTGCACTAATTTGACGCACTTCACTAAAATTAAAAGCAGACTAAATGTATACAATGTAGGCAAAACAAGAAATTCTTAATACTCATATGCTTTTCTTTTTCATTCTTTTATTATTTCAACCCCGAAATTGCCTATGTCGAACACAAATGTCGAAAACAAAGAAAAATAAAAACAAAGAGCTATTACCTCCTCGCTTACTTTTTCAGCGCTGGCCTAATGGTGCCGCTAGGGAAACTTAAATGAGCACAACACAAAATAACAAACACACTCTCAGAAATTGCAGTAATACCATCTCAAAACGTACGATTATTTCCAACTTGAGCAAGTTAAAGTCCTTATTCTCTCCGAATACGGACCTAACTTGCTCCGAATACGAACCTTGTTACTCTTAAGAAAAATTTTATGGGCAATGAGTGCAACAGGGAGCATAATTTTGGTTCTCTGTTTTGATTTCTTGAGAAATCAATTGCACTGCACTATATTTAAAAAAAATACCGCGCAATTGATTGTTAAAAAGTAGTAAAACTGCGCCCAATATTAGAAAAAGTATAAAGCAAAAATGATCAAAGTGATTTAATTATAAATTTTTTTCAAATAATAATAAAGTAAGTAAATTATAATAATTATAATTTAAAAATACTAGTGTATATAATTAATAAATTAATGTTTTGTAGATGGTGACACATTGTGTTAGAGGCTGTGCCACGTACAAGACATTATACAAATTTCCATCAACCGATGAAGGAAGATAAGAATGCAATTGTTATTATTTGTTATACTGTTATAATCTGTGAAATATTTGAAATATGAAATATTTATTTGGCAAGTATTCGTATTCGTGTATTCCGATTCAGTACTGTGCAAATAATAATAAGAAATACCATCACTATTGTTTTTTTTATATGTTTTACAACTGCTGTATTTAAGTATTTTAAGATGCTACATTTTTAATATTAAGTTTATTATAAACATGTTTATTCTATATTTACTTGTTTGTCTAACTATAACTGTTTAAGTATTGAATGATTTGTTACAAGTGTATTTTATAATAAAAATTAAATGTATATATAAATAAATGAGTTAAGTGTATATTTTTTTAATTCATAAAAGTTAACGAAAAAATTTTATATGAGTTATACAAAACTTAGATGTGTCTCTAAAAAAGAATACTAAGTTTTTAAGTATTGATTCCAAGTTTTCTATCTTGAAAGCAATAATGAATTAAGAAGAACCGACTTGCGTCAAATCTCTTTCAAAACTAATTTTATTTTCAAAAATCTTACGTTTAAATACAAAATTTTCTTACAATTAACTTAACTAAAATAGGGGTTGAAATATTTTTTGCCTGTTATCGTTTGAACTGCATTCTGTGCAGCAGAGGTTCATATTAAAAGGATACAAACAGGAAATCCCAGCATCAAAGATTTCTCTTTTAATTGTTTTTTACAAACTATTTTAACTATAATTAGACACGGTGCCTTATGTCATAAACTACTAAAAATGTTTTTACAATATTATATTAGGATATCTTTTTACATGTTTTTTTCTTGTCCCTAATTCTTAGAATCTGCACGATAACAACCCTACAATATTAACAACCATAAATTTAATACATATTACCAGCATCCTATTTAGGCAAAATTGTAAATCTGCATAATTAAAATACTGGCACATGGAAAAGATAAATGTTTATCTCTGCGCATCCTTTATATTGTCTTATATTTATTTTAGGATACGCAGATTTTTATACTTTTACTCTTAACATATGATTAACTATGCCTGCCGTTCTTTATCCACAGGCGCGCAGTATTATTGTTCAAACTAATCTTGAACATTCTGCCGCGGGCCATAGTGATGTAGCTGCTGTCAAACGTTTGCAGGGAATTGAAGCTAAAATGAGAAATAATGTCAAATTCGCAGAACGATAAAAGACACGCTATAACGATGCTATACCTCTCAGGCTCGGTAAACAGTGGCATATCCTAGATATAAACAGCCGTTTGTGGAAACAGTGGACTACGGAGTTTTTGCCTCAACTTTTTCGACGCCCTAAATGGTGTAAGGAGGTGGTGCCCCTCAGGGTTGGGGATTTTGTGATCGTTTGTGACAATCTGCTACCAAGAGGTCAATGACTCAAGGGTCGAATTGTTGAAGTGTTTCCTTCCAAGACCGGTCAGGTTAGATCAGCCCGCGTACAGATCAAGAATGGTATCCTAACTCGTCCAGCCACCAAGCTAGCCGCTTGTCAGATTAGTGAATCTTCCGAAGATTCACGGGAGGGCGGAATGCAACAGAAAACGCAACACTGAGCTGGATGCAGCCCTGCTAGGCAGCATGACAGTTGACATGAATGACAGTTCAGAGGAAAAACGGATCTAAAAAAGTACACAAATGTGAAACACGTTACGTGTCGATTTTAATATAAATAATAACAAATTGATTGTAAACTAATACCATATATATCATATATAGTAAATAAATTGTCAATGAAATAATAGGCCGGTGTTTTACATAATCGATTACAACTTCTGAAATAATTGGTTTATTACGGGCGACTCTTCTATGGTACTCGGCTTTTTTTATGACACGACGTACCGTATCCGCGAAAACCGTTTTGGAGAAACTGTTTTTGATTTGAAACTGTGCTGTGTGGGCTGTCGTCCTTTCTTTCCGTTTCTTTGCCTTTACTCTCCGTGCTGTAATTCTGCGAAATGTGATACAAAAACTCAGCTTAACAGCAGAATATTAATTGCTTAGACAATAACATATAAGCAAAATCGACGAAAAAACCTAATGTTAATCGCAAAATCTTGCATTCCACGCAACTTAAACCAGGGTATTATTAATTTTAAAATTAAAAATAAAATAGAAGACATTGTTATTAAATTTTGGAATAAATATATCACTGAAGACAATTAATTATAGTTATGGTTTAAAAAAGAATTCGTTAAAAATATTAATAAATGGTTGAACAATATGAGTTGAAAGATTGATTTCAAAATTTATTTGGGGCGTGCGCAGTTATATGCGAGTGAGTGTACATATCTCTTGCTATCAAGATAGCAACTAGCATTTCTGTGTAAGCATTTTTACAATAATCTAATTTTAATTTCTTTTTAACTACTATTTACACATTTATATTATCACTTGTTTCTTGTTCTGATTCCAAAACTTAATCCGAAAAAATGAAAACGCTGGGAACATTGGAGCCTTGATGATTTTTTAGGTTAAATTGAAATGCAAAATATAGACTGAAAAACTCTTAAAATAAGTACACTCTGTTTCACTTGAATAACACACTTTGTTTTTGCATTATTATTTGCTTTTCTATCAATGATCTCATGACTTTGTTGTAATAATTATTAGGGTTTTTTGTTTGTTTTCTTATGTAGTTTCTTCCAAAAAAAATTACCACTACAGAAATGTACCGTTAAATTTTCCCGTTAGTTTCTTTTGAATTTGCATCAATAGCTAACTAGTTCGTTTTTCGTTTTACTTGAATAGCACATTTGAGTTCTAATTTCAGTTATGAGTAACAGATCAACACAATATTAGGTTTTTTTAATTTATTTGTGAATTTTAAATACATTGTGACGATTTAAATGAATAATGGGTCGTGGTAATGCATTAACCAAAGCGTTTTTTTCTCTGAGCTCGACTAGTACAATTATTATTTTCATGATTTGAGAAAAAAAATTCATCAGTTTGAGCGTTTGCACAGTTGAGTTGCCGGAGTTATGGTTTGGGGAGCCATATGTTACTATAGCACTTGTGAACTCCAATTCTTAAACACAACTATGAACGCAAAATCGTACCAAGGAGTTTTAGAAAAGGCTTTTCCTTTGTTAGAGAATTTTTTTGGACAATTGCCGTGGACTTTCCAACAAGACAACGCCCCAATACATACTGCCCATGTTGTAAAATCGTTCATTGAGTCCAGAAATGTTGCTGTTCTGAACTGGCCACCATACTCGCCGGATCTTAACATAATAGACAATGTTTGGGGATGGCTGGCTAGAAAAGTTTATGAATATGGAAAACAATTTTCAACAAAAACTGAACTTGAAGCAATTTAGCGAGCATGGGCTACAATTTCCCTTGATTATATTAAAATTGTGTATGATTCACTTCCCGATAGGATCTATGAGATTATATTAAACAAGGGAGGTTCAATCGATTACTAAAATTTTAATTTTAACAAATTAATCCTTAATAACACATAAAGTTATTAAATTTATTTAAAAAACAAAAATGTGCTATTCAAGTGAAACGAAATTTATATGCCACTTATATACTTATTTAGTTTCTCATCTTTTAACATAAAAATTATTGAACAAGTTCAAGTTTTTTGTTTTTATAATAAAGATTATTAATCACACTACCCATAAAAACTAAAAACAAATTGTTTTATTTCATTGGCTTAGAAGATATAAACAAAAGAAATTAAATGTGTGAAGTGTGCGATTCAAGTGAAACGGAGTGTATAACTATTCGGAGTGTATACTAATCAAGTTATAACGTCCAACAATTAAAATATTTTGAAGTCAAATACTACATAAAATAAATTATTTATATATGGGATATTTATAATTTATACTTAGGAAATGTCTGCAATTTATATTTGTAGTTATTAAAATTCTTTATTTGTTTATTGTACTTCGTTAAAAAATTCCTAAAACTATATACATTCAGTTATTTATATACATTTATTTATTTATATACATTTACTTATTTATATACATTTATTTATTTATATACTTTTATTTATTTACTTCTGTAATATTTTTTAAATAAATTTAATTATCTGTATTATTTTACTAGGTTAAAGAAATTTTATGTTAAACTTACATTACATTACAGAACTCTTAAATTTACTCTCTTTCATATGAAGTTTATGAAGTCTATTGTGCTGACACAATAGACACTATTATGAAGCAAATTGTAATTATATAGTTGGTGGGAGATAAGTGAATTGTTTTACTGGAACTGTACACAGGTATATTGCATATCAGTGTAATTCCTTTATTGTTCACTTGTTCTGTTTTATGACTAATTAAGCGAATTAAACTATTTTGACTACTACTATCTTTAAATGTTAAAATTTTGTTTTCTATTCTAAACTTTCATTTTCTTTTATCGTATTTTTACAGAGATACGTCCCAGAATTGATATTAACATTAACTTCCATCGATGCACGTCTATTTATAGCCTCATATAGTTCATCGATTGATGTTTTTGTTACATCAGAATCAATAGATGTGTCAAAACTTATAACAACTTCTTTGTTATCATCATCTAATTCACTTTCATTGGATGATTCACATGAAAAGCCATCAGTCAAAACCAAGTTAAAATCAATATCGCATTGCGGAGCATACAGTCCATGGCTCCGAATACTAATTTCAGAATTTTGATAATTCACATCACTTTCATTTGTTGGACTTGCAGAGACCACATGAGTACTTGAAATCACATTACTGTCATAGTTTCTACATTTGTCCGTAACTTTTACATTTCCCTTATTAAAAATTTTAAAGCATTGTTTTTTGTCACTAATTTCAAAATTTGTGCGTATATTGAAGTCAGATAAAGTGTACATTTTAAGCATATTGCTATCAAGATAATTATTAAGACTACTAAGTGATTTAGATCGCTTTGAGCTAAAGCTTTCATTACAAGCTTTATTGTTCTCTATGTTATGTTCTTCTATGTTAAATATTTTTGGAAAATTTGGCATAAAAATTTTGTTTTTATTTAAATCTTGTGCAATTTGACCAGCAATGTTATTATCCATATTGCTCAGACAATTCGATACTGTCTTATTAGTGATTCCAATGACGTTCGTATTTTTTAATAACGAAATATTTACTACGTTGGGCTTGCTTATTGAGTTTTTTAAAATTGATTCTTTATACAAGTCGTTATCTTTTCTCTTCTTTTGTTGTGATGTTATATAATTTAACATAGGATACATATTATTAGAAACACGGGAATTTTCATATAATGGATTGTTCTCGCCACGTTGACTAATCATTTGTTCTTTGATTTCATCCTCCTCATAAAGAGCTGAACGATGATGTATTGAATTTTTGACATCATAAACTACTTTAATTATTTCGTGTTGCGGTTCTATTGTTTCCGAAATGTTAGTATATATATTTGCTATAACGTTGCTAAAATCATTTTTTTGATTTAAATTGGATGAACTGTATACCGGTCTGCAAGATAAATTTGTGTTACTCAGCTTAGTACTTCCACTAAAACACTTCACTGCATTGCATTGTTTTGAATGCGCATAATTATTAGCAGCACTGCTGGATAAAGATCTTAAATCGCTGGCATTATCCACGATGCTAGGACGATTCATTTGACGTTGTAATTCAAAGTTGTTTCGTTTTGAAAGACGTTTTTGCTTTTTAAAAAATTTTCGTGCAACATTTATTTGATTTGGATTGTAAAATATATCAGCACATGGAACTTCATATGTAAGAGTATTTATACCCGCAGTATTTTGGCTGTGATCGATTGCTGTCAAACTTTTAATATTGGCATTTAGTAAATATTGATTTGAGAAATTAATTGACTTAATTGGATGTTCTTTTTGATGGGAATTACTTTTCATACTGCAAATACTATTAGTATGATGCCTCGAACACTGACTATTTGAGCGGCATGTAGAATTATTCGCGTCATATGGAGTCGATTTATATGTAGTAAGTGCCAAGTTAACAGAAGGAACATCTTTATAGTTTTTATGGTACTCTATTAAGCAAAAGGTATTTTTGTTCAATTGTCTTGCTTTATTTCGCGAAAAATTATAAAAAAAAACTAAAAACAATCCTAAACCTATAGCGGAAACGGAACATATTGTACTATATATTTGATTTACACGGTTTTCCAATATTGTTGATTGCGTGACAAAGAAAGCAGCTGATAACCACAATATAGTGAATACTAAGAACAAAATCAAAAGTGCTCTTAAGTCGGCTATATTAACACATTCAAATTCATCTAATTTGCTACTAATTGAATTAGTTAATGTCAGAGAACTATATAGTTTCATATTAAGCTGTGAATTTCTTTTACGAGTTGTATTTGCAAAATTTAACTGTTCCATATCTGTAGCATCTGTGTTATCTGAAAACTTAGGATTTCGAATTTCATTTATCTTTTTACTATTATGATAATATACATTGAAAACCAGAATAAGAAAAAATAATAGCAGCATTATGACTGGAATTACTATTGCAATTATAGCTGATGTATTATGTACGAAACAATACGAATATGATGCATATTCATTTAGATTTACAGCGCCACTAATACCACAAATGATAGCGCTAACGCCCCAGCCAACAAGATATATTCCTAAAATTGGTTTTTTGAGATCGATATCTACTGACAAATTATTTTCTGGGCCCGTATGCCTCCTTTTAACGAAACGTTTGTACATAGTTCTGAAGCTAACACATAACCAAAATAATACGCACATAGTGAAATAATGTATAAGTAATCCAAATATTTTGCAGATATTCCGATTTTCCGTCTGAAAAATTCCAAGAGTAAATACTACACAAAGCGATGATAAAGCAATCCATGTATTTACAAATGAGTGTTTTTGTTGACGATTTATACGTATCGCTTCTCCAAAAATAATAAAAGTTGATATGTTAATCCAGGAACAAATAAAAAGCACTAGGCTTCCAATATAAATACTAAGAGGCGTGAAACGAAATAAAGCCCCAGTGTTTTCATTAGGTATATCATTTAAAAATTGTTTTCTTTGTAGCAAACCGTAATAACCTAATCGATTACATGTGAACCAAAGCAAACCGCGGTACATGTATATTTTTCGACATATATTATGGTTCCATATTTTTAATTTACTATCCCACCATGCTCCTACAGGAGCACTAATATCATTATGGTACGGTCGCATTCGAATTATTATTGAAATATTTCCGAGTAAATGGAAATTTGTGTAATCCATTACATCATTTATTATTTTTGTCCCTATAGTTACTGAAGATAATATTTTGTCATCATTCTCATCGCTTCTATTTAAATATGGCAGCAGATTCGAATTTCGAAATATTCCAACCATCAGTTTGCAAGATTTGTGTGAGTTATTAAACAATAAATTACTGGGTATATGAATTGCTGCATCCACGTAATTCTCAAATATAGGAAAAGAATCATTTGATATAGTACACTCAAATGTACGTTTACCTATGTTCCCATTTGGTCTTAACCACATGCATGACAAGCCAGTAAATGATTCTGATCTCAGATTGAAAGTGTCAATAAATATATTTTTTGGAGATACGTTTTTGTTTTCAGATTTTTCGTCGTTTATATCCAATAAACGTGACGTTTGTATATGTGCTGCTGCTGCTTCAACTGCGCTAAGGATTTTAATACCACTTTCGTGCAGTTTCTGAGCTTCATAAAACAATGATTTTGGCAAAATTATTAATTGCGATGCAGTGTCAAGCAGTATATGTGCTACATCAGTTTGATTCTTAATATATTTTAAGTATTTAGTAAGCGTTTGTGCAATAAATTCTAAGTCCATTGGATCTATAATTTTTTTTATATTTGTAGTAGTGTTTGTAAAATGATAGAGACGATTGGCAATTTCTAATTCTTTACCTTTAGCAAGCGTAAAGTTCATTTTTGCAAATTGTTCCAAAATTCTGGTCGTTTCACTTACGAATGGACATTTTTTCACATTTAAATATAACCATGTACCGTTAGGACTGCAATAGTAAGATGCCCAAGCTTGAGACTCTCCTTCTTCCTCACAGTTTTGAATATTTGTTTCACCGCGGACTGTCTGAGGCCAGTAATAAACACCTTTATTTGTGCTTATTTTAACTGCTTCACAATATTTCGTTGATTTTGAAATCACAGTAATCGTAATGGACTTAGACAAATTGGCATGTTGTGATTTTAGTGCACAATCCCACATGCCAGTATGATTCTTTTTTAAACTTTTTATTTTCAAAACAGAATTTAAAATGCCTGAATCTGCAGAGTGCTTCATTTCCAAATATACATCGGCAAATATTTTTAAAGGATCTTTATATTCAACAGCTTCAGTTGAATTTTGCTTTTGCATTTTATTAGTCCACCCCCAAAAGACATGTGCTCGTGTTGGCAAGTCTTCAGATTCATGAGGAACACCTATAGCAATACGAGGTGCCCCACATTTAAGCATTAATTCATCTCCTTCAAATGCAAGCTATAAAATAAATATTCGTAACAATGTTTGCAATTTTTAAAAATTCTACAATTTGATACCTGATTTTTTGAAGGACTAAGTTCAAGTAGAGGCTGTAAAGGAGATTCGCAATGAAGATCAATTCCAACTTTAAGTTTTTTTAAAAATACACCACTAAAATCGCTTGGAGCTTCGCATTTAGGTTGTGGATGCAACTTCAAATGTGTATTAGACCAAGCCACCAGCCATATGAGATCACAATCACACACGAGAGGATTGTTAGATATATCACTGTATGTAAAAAAAAAAATATTTTTCAGAGTTACAAAAACTTGTCACTTATCAATTACTACAATTAACTAATCAATAATCTTATAAACTAGAGGATACTACAAGTATTAAAATGACGTACAATTAAGCTCCCTCCTTTCTCAATTACCTTAACACATAATAAATGCAAAAATAATAAAATACCTCTTTGAGATAACTAGAAACGTAACACAAAATTCTTAGTCATAGTAATTCTGAATACTCCCAGGAAATACGTCTCCCTATTCCCACGATATTCCCAAGAATAGAAATTTGTTATTCTGAATCACATGGGAATGGGAGTTTTGTTCCCTATTCCCAATTTTGCTATTCTGAATCAAATGGGAACGGGAGATTTTTTCCCAATTTAGCACAAAATCTTTCCCAAGCAATTTGTGTGGGAGACAGTTGAAGAAAGTGTTTAAAAAGAGTTTAATTTAATATGTAAGTAACTTATAATGATTAGATTTTTGAATATATTATATTTTAATAAAATTATCATAATAAATATAATATTTTTAAATTTATTTAAATTATGTTTTTATTTTATCCATACGGGTTAATTATTTTTCGAATATATTTTAATACAACTATTATAACAAATTTAATACATCTAAATTTTTATTTAATATTATTTTAAATAACATTATTATTATAATAAAAATATTTTAACAAATTTAATACGAGGGCTGCTATATATATTTCTGGCCTAGACAACACTAAGTGTTGCTAGGTGCAATCTGACATTTCCTGCATTTCCAGAATGACAGAACGTGTTATCATTTAATTGTGAATTGTTTTATTTACAGAGACTTCAAAAATTCATCTCGACCAAAAAATAGAATTAACACGTGGACATTTTCGTACGATCATTTTTCACAACTTTTGACGTGGATTATCACGACAACAGTGCATTGATGAACTTAAATCTTTGTATGGCGATAAAACAATTGAATAATAAAAGAAAACCAAATCTCAGAATGAACCGGATTTCTGGAACACGTTTAATATAATTTCTTGTTATTATGAAGAAGTAAAACATTGCTTCTTATTTATCATAACATTTGCGCAATTATAAACTATTATTACAATTTATTAATTGAAAGACATTTATTTCTATCTAATTATAAAAATAAATACGACTTTTGGAGAAGAATTCAAATTTTAGTTAAAACGTTAATAATTTCAATTAATAAATAAGATATTTTACTTTGTTTTACTGTATATAAGAAAAAAATAAATTATGTGGATATTAAAAAATAAAATAAAAGATTCATTCATTTCTGATATTTTGTGCTGCAGATAAATAATGCGATTTTTTAATTAAAATCAACATATGATACGCAATTGTTTTCTTTGTTTTGCTCATTTTCGCAAGTTTCGCCATTAAAAAATGCAATGGTTGCCAAAATTCAACAAAACAAATTTGAAACTTTTGTTGTTCCCAAAACAGCTGTCTCCTAAGCAATTCAGAATAAGGGATTTTTATTGTTGGGAATAGCGTGAGAATAAGGAGATTTATTCCCTAGGAGTATTCAGAATAACTATGATTTTTTTAATTAATTAAATTAAGTAAAACAGTTTCGAGTATTGCCAAATACCCATTTCAGTGGATTGGAATTATTTCTTATATTTATATTTATTCGTAAATAATTTTTTGAGACTGCAAATATCAAGGGTTGAACTCGTAACCTGCCAAACTTGAAGCTCAGAGTCAGCGTTCATTAAATGGGTATTACACATCGTACTTGGTGCGACGTCCCTTGCTATTACACATCATGCCCAGCCGACATTATTTTGAACACTCCTCATCAAATAAAACAACAAATATACTACAAAATAAAATCATGCGTGCATTTAAACGATGTTTTCGCTTCCATCCCTTAAAATCCCTTAAAAAAGTTGTAGCAGCATGTACAACGGAGTTTTATTAATTTTCTGTGCACAGAGTGTACTGAAAATACGCAAAGAACATTTTCCCAAACTATTATTTAGCGATGATATCAATTCCGCTTTTGAAAAACTGCTGTCGGAGTCCCGAGACTACAGGTAGCATGCTCTGCAGAATATGGTTGAATGAAAGTATGTCCAACGATTGGAATTGTAGTACCCTATAACTTGTATTGAAAGCCATTCGTCGATTTGCGCCAACTATAGCGAGATTTCCTATCACATACATACAATTTTCAAGTGTACTATGTGAAAGATTGAGGCCATATGTTAACTCAGTAATTGGACCTTATTAGTGCAGCTTTTGTCCTGGTCGCTCCACCAATGACAAGATATTCACACTGTGACAAATATTGGAAAAATCTCGTAACATAATATCGACACCCACCATCTTTTTGTCGAATATAAATCAGCTTTCAATAACCCTTTAAGGAATCGCGTTTACGCAGCAATATCTGAGCCTGGTATCCCTGCAAATTTAATGTAACTTGTTACGATACTTTCTCGTTGTCATTCCGATTTGCTGGGATATCAGGATGGTTACAACAAATTATTTTATTGCATCCAACGTATTCAAAAGTTTTTGTCGTTTTATATTTTTTTTGTGTTTAAATTTTATTGTTAAGTATAATTAAGTAAAATTGACAATCAATATATTAATAATGATTTTATAAGTTTAAAAAAAAATATATGTGTCAATAAAATCAATTTAAGAGTGTTGATTATCTTCTACGAAACAATCTGGAGAGAAATACTCGTCCTGGGAGTCCTTGGTGTTAGATTCCACATGTATATTCTATGGATTGTACCTCTTCTAGCCCCTTTTGTGTCATTATATTTTCTTGATGGTTACCCAAAATTATAATTGATACAGTATAGACGTGAGTAGGCTATACTTTTGATTTCTAATATTTCTTGATGTAGAAATATTTTTTCTTTGCCACACAATATTATTGGTGATATAGTCAACCTATCGTTTTACTATAATTTTGAATAGCATGTGCTTTAGGTTTTTAATATTCTTTGTTATAGGGATATTCTTTGTTTGTCCCACAAAATTATTGCGGTTGACATGAGACCACCTGTCGTATTACAATTAGGATGTAGACTTCTTGTTTAAGAGACAAAACGTACGATCTGTATGTCGCTTATACAACCTGTTGGTCTGTAAAGCGCAGAAGCATAGTAACTACAACAGAATGATATAGCAGCATTGGGAGTTTTCGAGAGAAAAATTCTTTGTAAGATCTTTGGTCCTCTATAAGTTGGCGACGACTAGCACATCCAAATGAACCACGAGCTGTACGAGTTTTGTCATGACATGATATAGTTCAGTGCATTTCATTAGTTATGTTTCATTTTCAGTTTGCAGTTTCATTAGTTATGTCGTGAGAATGGATGACGATGCTCTAGCAAAAAAAGTATTTGAAGTGATCAAGTTGAGGAAGCACTAACCGTACTTGATGAAGAAGACTGGAAAAGGTGCACAAGCCGCAGAGGCACGTGGAGAGACATGTTTTAACATTTCTTTGCACCAATCGACACGAACCTTTTTTTGAACGATTGTCTAATTGTGCGGGATCCAATAAGAACAAACCTTTTTTAAGGTCAAGTGTTCATGCAATATCGAATGTATGCTGGTGGGAGAAATGCCCAAGGATGCCTCTAGCTCACGGTATGTCACATGACGATCTTGCATTATCAGTTCACGCACGGCATCAATGTTCTCTGGCACAACGGCCGTTTTTGAACGACCTGCGCGAAATTCGTCGTTGAGCGAGCGTCGGCAATAATTGAATTCATTAAACCAGTTTTTCACAGTGCTATAGGATGGTGCTTTATCGCCATACAAAGATTTAAGTTCATCAATGCACTGTTGTCGTGATAATCCACGTCAAAAGTTGTGAAAAATGATCGTACGAAAATGTCCGTGTTAATTCCATTTTTTGGTCGAGATGAATTTTTGAAGTCTCTGTAAATAAAACAATTCACAATTAAATGACAACACGTTCTGAGTGATGTTATGGTAAAAAATGTCAACCTTTCCAATGGAAATGCCTGGTTTATTTATTAGTTCCTTTAACAGTTTTTGGTCTTTATTCTTTTCTTTTTTGTTGTGTGTCGGTAGAATCGATGACACCTGCTGTGAGGTTTCTGATGGCTGATTGGTCTTCCAGGGATAGGGGAAACTCACTGATTGTGGATTTAATTATATTTGGCATAATATAGACAAACCTGTAGTGCTTCTCTGCAAAGTAAAATTTTGACTATAGTTTGAGCCGCTTTTAGTTATCAATTTTGTATAACTTATATACAAATTTCAGGTTGAATGAATTCGCAAAATTTTATTAATTTTCTGAATAATGTTCTGAAGCATCATGTAGATATAAATCGCTAATAGAAGTCGTGAATGAATTCAGGAAAAGAAAACTGAAATTCTTGTTTGTCCAACATAATCCATTCCGGAATGTACTTATTCACGAGTTCTAATAACAATCTATTTCATAACTAATTTTTGCTAGATACACTATATTTTGCTTTTATTTAACAGCTTTCAAAGAATGTTATCAATTGCACTAAGTGGTCTACAAGAATTAGCATTTGTATATGTTGATATTATAGTCTTCGGGTCAAGTTCACAACACCATAATAAAAATTTAGAAAAAGTTTTTCGAAAACTACAAGAATGCAATCTTAAACTTAATTTAAACAAATGTGAATTTCTCAAAACGGAAGTCATTTATCTGGGCCACTTAATTACTTCAAAAGGAATTACCACGGATTCCTCTAAACATGAAGTAATTGAAAAATATCCAATTCCAACTACCGCAGATGAAGCAAGAAGATTCATAGCTTTTTGCAACAACTACTGACGTTTTATTGAAAATTTTGCCGAAATAGCCACACCAATCAATCAATTACAAAGAAAAAATAATATATTTAATTTGACTGACTCATGTAAAAAATCTTTTAAAAAATGAAGTGTTAGCTTATCCAGATTTTAATAAACCTTTCATTCTTACAACCGATAC